AATTCATATTCTTGAGAGGGGCATTTATAATTTTTTTTTAGCTAGGTGATTTTAATTTAAAAATGTCCTTGTTTTCCATTACAATTTTTTGCCATTGACCACATTTATGGGTACCCCACTAACCGTAGAAAAATGGGAAGTTTTCATTTATAGTTATGTCTTATAAAAAGAAAAGATTGGAATAGGCCGAATCATTTTTTATGAAGAACAACGATAAATTAAAAAACAAAAACGATCTCTTCATAGATTTTTTTTTCATTGTTGCCTCGCTAAAAAACTATTTGTTTTAGAGTTCTTCTTCTATGCTAATTACATGATAGAGATGACCATAATCCGTCCTTTGCTTGGGTTGGTACAAGGGCAGGTAAAGACCCTCGATCCTCCAGAGAAGCTGCGCTGGCAACGCCTCTAGTGGTGAAAGCAATGAACTAGGAGGCATTTTTGGGCAAAATATATTTATTAATAATTTAAAAACAACAATGTTTTATTACATGGTGTTTGTTGAATTTGTTAAGAATTAATATTTTGTGATAAATACCAAAACCCTAAAACGAATCTTTAGGTCTACCGTTAAATATCGTGACTTTTACATCAATCACAATATCTCAAAAACTAAACACTTTTTTTTAAAAAAGGCCAACGTATCGGCCTCTAGGATATTCTTTTAAATTATCTTAAAAAAACAAAATTGATTACTTGAAAAATGACTGAGTAAAGTTGTTTTCAAGTTCAACATTTATGCATTTTTGTTCTTTTTTAAAAAGTATTGAATTTTTTTTAGAAAATCTCAACGTGTCGGCCTGTAGATTTAAAAAACCTTTATTTTGATGTATAATACATGGAATTCTGTTGCATATTAAGAGAGTAATCTTGTTTTCAATATACTAACGTCTCGAATCGTTGGTCGCGGACACCCGTTTTTATTGTTACAAATTTAAACAGGTGATTCACCTGTCAAAAAATATCAAAAAATATTACATAAGAGAGCTACATCCTCTGAAAGGGGTGCATCTTTTAATGGATTTTTCCAATATATCCAATAAAAGTTTGGTGTGACGGGTTTAATCGTGTTTTTGTTCAAAATATCTAATATAAACCATTGTAGATAAAATTACAAAATTTCGTACAACTAATAACCTTTTTACACCCAAACAAATTCAAAGATAAAATGTCAAGAGTTTTCCTCAGGGGCGTTCTAAACTAGGGGGTTTAGGGTAAAAAGTACCCTAACTATTTTGGCTGTTGGTTCTTGCCACTTTCACCCACAAAATTCTAAATTCCAAAGTTTTTCACAAAAAAAGAAGTTTCTTGAGTTTTTTTCGATACAACTTATCGTTTTTGAGTAAAGTTAGTTTACAATTTGTCTTACAGACTATAAAGAGGATAAAAATTAATAATCAAATTCGTTTTACCGTTTAAGACGCCCGTGATTAAAAAATTTGACATTCGAAACTTATCCGAAACTGTCTTAAAATTGAATATTCTATCATCTGTTTAAATTTGTAACAATAAAAACGAAACATTATATATTAAAAGTTTATAATCATAATATTTTATGAAATAACATGTTTGATTTAACAGTTATCTAGTTGTACTACAAAAGTGTTTACAATATCTAATAAAGCAAAAGTTTAATTTTTAATATACAGGGAGTTCGGTCCAAGTCGCCCTAAACCTACTTCTTTTTTTCAAATAGTAAATATTTAGGTAATAATAGTAATTCTTGGCTTTCTTAATAAATGTTTCAAATTTTTTTAGCACATCCGGTGTTGCCGGAATTGCTACCAAATTTAGTTTTCCAAATGGAACACCTATGTTTTTTTCCTCGAAGCAATAATAATTGACATGAAAGATACGGTAAACCACTATTTATTACACTTTGCGTAACACAATGCAATCAGAAAACATCTTAAATCTTAGAACTTTATAAGGAAATTGGTCGCGTAGCCTGATTTTTAATTTTAAAAGAAAGGTGTGAATAAAAAAATGCTTGGATACAGTTTAATTGTTGGTTTGACGAATCTAATTTGTCAGTTGATTAGCGAGTTCTTTTATGGAAACTCTTGGATTTTCTTGGACTGATAACAGAACATTCAGATTTCTATTTTCTTGTTCTTCACTAAGAACCACAGGTTTTTTAGTTTTATGAAACGAACCTGTTCGTCTCAGTTGTTTTTCAATTCGACTAAATTTCCAACGATTTGGGTGAACTCTATTTGGGTATTTTTCTCTAAACTGTCTTTCAGCTTCCGCTCTATTTTTATTGCACTTAAAAAACACTTCAAGCTGATCTACCAATTCGTCGTAGTTAATATCATCCATTATTAAAGATCTCAATAAGATTTATTGTCAAATTAGGCTTTGTCAAACTAACAATTAAACGGTATCCAAGCATATTGCTTTTTGTATGAATACCTTGACAGGTAAAATCCCCCTACGTTGAATAAAATTTTAAAACTTAAATTGTTTTCTGAGTGCATTATGTTTATATATTATATATATTTTATATATTCTAATTGTTATATTTTATTATTGTATATTATTATTATTACATATATTTTAATATGTAATATAATTTTTAATGTATTACAAAAAAAAAGTAAGTAATAGGTCAGTATAACTACGAATCTTGTGAGTGGTTCCAGCACCAGATTTTCAACAACTACACATTAAAGTAGTTTGGTTTTTTTTGTAAGTAGACAATTTTATTTTTGTATATGTAGTCCTTTGCAGATATAGTTGTAGATATTATTTGTTTATTAATTTTAATGACATTAACCTGAAAGTTTTAAACTCGAAGATGTATTTTGTTTTTTAATTCAAAAGAAATAAGTAAAACAGCACTCCTTTCACAACAAATATTTTTCAGAAAGCTTCTCAAGTCAGTTTAATCTTTCGTAAAATGTTTTCACAGAACTACTTCTCATTCTATTGCCTCACGCCTGTCATAAAGATTAAAAACTGAACATATACAATGTCACAGCATTTTCTTGACCCTCGTTCATTTATTATGCATGAGCACTTTACTTCTTTTTTAAGCTTTTGATTCAATTACTTGGTGAACATCTGAAAAAATGTTTTAGATTTGGGAGTACTTACAAAATTAATATGTAGTACATTTTACGAACTGCAAACTTTTTTGGCTTTAGTCGATGCGACACTGAGTTAATTTCGGTCATCGATCAACTCGCAGTCGCTATGACATCGAGAGCTTTTAATTGACATAGTGCTTATAACACTTGTGTACTAATTAACTGAGCGTATTGTCTTCAGCGCTTCAGTTTATGTTTGCGCTGCCAACATTGTCATAATCCATGTATTTCATTCCAAATCCCGTTGCAGCTTACATTTATGATCTCCGACAACGTGCATCTCGCACGAAACACAAAAACGAACACTTAATTAATAATAACCTAATCCCACCATTGAACATACAAACCTATTAATTTTTAAAACTGATGTCTGTGCAATTATTGGCATATTGGCATAAGCACAAACAGACGATAATTGCCTCAAAATTACATCAAAGACAATGCACTGCATAAACTAATTAACACATCCGGTGGTCAATCGTTCCATTAAATGGCTTAAAGGTAATTACATTGCTTCCCTATTCCACTATTCAACGCATGTGTCAACATCGCTACTTTTTAATAGCTTTTAATAAGATTACGTTTTGATTCGAGCGAATTTGAAGCAAATCTCGGTGTTGTTCCTTGTGAAAGCGGTGTTTGTTCAGTTTTCAGCTCCCAAGTTATGAAACTCCAACATATATCATAAGCCTGTTCGGATTTGGCCCTTAAACCTTCATTTACATACAAACTCTTGGTCCACAAATTAACATAGGTTTAATTTGGGTTGGAGAACAATAATTAAAATATTGTATTATTGTGTGAATGGTGTTTGTATTTCGTGTCAAGAGAACCCAGAAATTATTTATTAAACACTCAAATAAGTACCTCTTACATACATATTTCAAGTTGTTCATTTTCACAAAAAATTTGTTATTCATAGCAAAACCTAATAATCTTTTTACAACACTTGCAAGAGCACGCAACTGACTACTAAATGCTCAAATAGCATGGTCCCCAAAAATTCCAGATTTTCAAGATTGGAGATTAAATTTGAAAAAAGGTCGGTTTAAATTAGAATTAATAATCTAAATATAATTATATAATAATATAATAATCTAAAATAAATTACCAGGTTTATTAACAAATTTTCAATTCCCGATTTTTGTATCAACCGCCATAATTTACATAATTTTTCTAAATGCTCTAAGCAAAGTTAAAATATAATTTATACTTGTGTAACAGAATCGTTTATCATATTTAATACTAACTTTGTAGTAAATAAATCAAATGTTAAAAAATATTAGAGAAAGAATTTAAAAGAAGCCTGTTTTTATTAACGGAAATCATTAAGAAAAAAAATTGGGTGAAAAAATTAGTAACACCTTATCTTTTTAGCCATAATTTTTTTAAAATTTTTGTTTCTAAAAATTTTATAAAAAATTATCATTATGTTCTTATGTAGAATAACAAAGTTTTGCGTTTTATAGATTTTGTGTGCACGTATGCTATACTTGAAAACATTTAGCGGTACAGAGATTGTTCCCGTTTCTAAATTTTCTTAGACGATATTTAATGGCATTGTTTCAATTTAAATCAAAAATTGGAACTGCAATTTTTTTTATTAAAATTTGACAGTGATGCCAACGTTAACCAAATGCTAACTTCTTATGTTGTACGTATAATATATTCGCATGCAAAAAATACAGCTTGAAAAGAGTATTTTGTTATTAATATTACATTACCCTGTATGCATTAGCATACAGAAGAAAAAATTGTTTTAAATTAAAACGTTCCTTAGAAAATTTAAATTCTTGTTATCTTTTTATTATTTAAATAAATCCCAAACAGTCTGCTACGACTATTAACTAATTTATTAAAACTTCATAAAAACATTAATTCTGATGCAGCAACTTTCCCACAACTGACCTTCTTTTTCTTTCGTATCTATCTTACTATGAGCCAAAGTAAGCAAAACGCCAACGCAGAACAATATCACAATTCGAATCATCGCCATAGTTATTAGTTCGTTTGGCATTAACCACTCGAGACACTTATTAAAAAAGTTTCTTCAACTGATTTTTTACGCTTTTCACGAAGCTTTACGTCACATTATTACTTGGAACTTGTGTTGTCACTGAAAAAAAATTGAAGCTTTCGGAAAGCTCGCGTAAAGTCCTGCTAGGGTTTAGACCGTCACTTTGTAACGAGCTTCGCGAAACGACTGCAGATAGCGGAGCTTGAAAGCCCTGAGAAGTTTTGGGCATGCGCCTGCTCTATGATAAGGGTTCAACATCGCTGATCAGATATTTGTTTATTTAGTTTCAGTGTTGTGCAATGTGAAAAAGCTTTGATGTCATTTATTATTAGTACCTGCTTTCCTTCCTATCACTTGCTTTCTTCATTATTGAGTCGATGTGGAGACGACGATACATGGTTAAAGAAATTTGGTACTAACTTCGTCTTTCTATAAAATTTCTCGTCAATTAATAAAAATATGTAAATAGCTGTTTTAAATTTAAATTTTAAAATGAAATAAAATGTGAACGGATCTCTCTTTATGCATTTTATATTTGAAGTACTTAGTTATTTACATATTTATTTAAATATTTATTAGATACATACAGACAAATTTAAAATTAACAATATTGTGAATTCTCTAACCATAGTTGATATTATGTATGCCCTGCTCTTACGTTGTTACCGTAATCAAAGAAAGTTTAAGTTATATTGTTACATTTTTGAAATGTTGAAATTTAGCTGAAATTTAAGTTTAAAACCAAAAGCTGTATTTTTTATGCAATTCAAGGTAAGAACTTCGTAATAGAATTGGATTTAAAACATACACCATAATTTGTATTGTTAGGTACACTGGCGGACAGTAAAATCGCGTACATATTTTTTTGCTGGATTAAATGGCCGTTAGCAGGACATACACTTTGTCAGCGTCAAATAGTAAAAATGCGGAAACTTATTTAAAATTAAAAAAAAAAAATTCTTATACTGTCTAAACTGAAGGAAGGCTATAGCCCCGGTTATAGCATAAAAGCAGTTGCAGACTAATAGATTTCAACAAAAGCACAATTTTAAGAGTGAAGAGGAGATGTAATCAAGAAAAAAAAACAATCTCTTTTCTAAAGATTCTTTAAAATTTCAGAAAAGACAAATTTACATATTGAGAAAGAACAAATGTGTTACTTAATTTTTACAATGTACGCAATTATATTGTTCCCCACTATAAATGAAACAATAGGAGACAATCAGCAAAGTAGCTGACCTCTGGTGTCAGGCTAGAAACTATCCAAATAAGAGAAATAGTAAATTACAAACAAGGTGGTAAATATGGCATTACCTCTAGTGCTCATGTATACGATCGAGAGGGGCCAGCCTTGTGATCGGATAAAGCACAAGGGGTAATGCCATTACCACCGAGGTTTTGTATGCTATTTTATTCACAATCACATTATTTTTAGTCAAAAGTTTTAATTTAATAAAATTGTAACAAAGTTAAGATTCAAACGTGGTAGGCCATCTAAATTGTATTTGATTTTTGCCATTTCGAAAATGTCAAAAAAGTATGGAAGTATTGTGTGAATCTGATACTAAAATTGTTGAAATGGAGTATTGTACTCCTCCAGAGAAACTGCTACAGAAACAATTGGAAACAAATTTAGAAAAATATTATGCGTAACTTGACAATTTAAAAGAAAAAATTCCCGGTATTGTTGTAATGTTAATATTGGCAAACAGGTACAGTTTGAGACAAAATACTTTGGTCGTCACTTTTCTGACACTTTAATGTAATTCAAGCTTTAACGTTACAATTTCAAATTAATGACAACAACTGTATTTTCCTATCAAAAATATGTCCAACTTGTCAACTATCATTGACAGTAGCTAAAAATAAGGTTAACAGTCCTAAAGCATGCTTTACAATTTAATGTCGCTCAAGTGACATTGACGACCAAAGTATTTTGTCTCCAACTGTATATTACCGCCCAAGGGATAAAGTAATATCGATATTACTGCTCACAGGATTCAAGGTTGTGTCTCTCAACCTTTAAAAGGTTAGTAGGTAATCGGCATAATACACTAGTGATTGTGAATAAACATATTTTGACCATATCAATTTTCCAATTTGTCAATTTGACAAGTCAGTTCAAATACGAGTATGAGTACTTGCAAGCCTTTTTGCTCTGTACCTCATTGAAAAAACTATGTGGGAGGGTCTATTTCAATGCATTACTTTTTAAAATAGAAATTTCAACTTTTGGCATTATTATTTTAAATAAAAAATTACTTTTAATAGTTATTTATTATACAAGCGGATAAAGTGGCCGTTCAATGAGCTGTTCGTTTAACCGCGCAAGCTGCGCAGCAGCGCGCGCGTTAATAACTGCGAATTAACCGGACACTTTATCCTGCGAGTGTAATACAACATTTTATTCGATTTTGCCTTATAAACCTTTCTATTTTAAAGATAAAAATATCAGTCATCAAATCGTCAGACATTTACAAATTTCATAATTATCCTGATTCCTATGCGGCGACCATAACAACGACTTGTTTTTCATGTGATGCCATACTAATAGATAGTTATGGAAGCATGAATTTCGAATGTGCAACAGTTCAAAATCGCAACATTTGTATTGTTGCTAAAATACCGATTGAGGAACTTTAGAATCTGATGCGATAATCATGTTTATTGTAATTTTAAATAAAAATATTGAATGTTTAAAACAGCGGATTAAAATTTTTAATGCGCCGATTATTGACGTTTTAATGCGCTGCTTAAATAAACAAAATAAACAATGACTTTAATAGTTTGATTTGACATAAATAAACGTCCTTTTATAAGGCAAAATCGAATAAAAAACGTTAGTTGTCAGATTTAATAAAACTTTTAAGTCGTTACAAAAATCCTTCAAAATCTTGCTAAAACGTCGCCGCGCCGCGCCGTAGTCTAAGGTACGCGCTAAAATTAGTAAAGAAAACATCTGACACATCAACTGAAAATTATTCAAATGGGGAAAACATTGATGGTTTGGTACCAAGTATTAGTGGCTGATTTTCCGCTATACATCATTCCCAAAATATTGCTTACAATAAACTGTTTAAGTATAACCAAAAAATGTAAAAATAATAAAATTATGCTTGTGTTTTTTAGTGGTTTTTATAATCCAGTCTATAAACGCAAAAATTTAATTTAGCCCGGCGCATCCACCAAAAGTTACAATCAGTTTATACACAAAATGGTGAATTAATTTAAATGCTGCATTTCAGTAATTTTTATTTTAATCAATTATTATTATAAATGTTTTTTATATGTTATTGTATCTAAAACATTAATAAATGAATTAAGATAGTGTTCCGCAGCAGTTTTTGTAATGCAGTTACATGGTTACTTACTTGTAGTTTCGGCAATTGTGTTCAAAGTACCGTGCAATCAAAAAAAAATTAGAGTAGGCGTCGGTTAAATTCTACAGTTGGCAACACATTGGCTGTGAATCTGAGTTGGAAATTTTCCACACAAGTTGAAAGTGAAAATGACTATTCACCGTTTTTGTCTTGTACAGCCTTTTTGTAGTAACTTGCAACAATAAAAAATTTCTGCTTAAAAGTGAACATTATTTCACTTAAAATGAATAAAACGCAAACTAATAAAAGTTTCCGCTGACATTTGATGTCAAAAATCAGAATTGTCATCTGAAGTACTTTAATCACCACCTACTCTAATTTATTATTTTTTTTGATCGCACAGTATGACCAAAATAAAACACACACATAAAGAACAACTATCGACCGATCAAGATAATTTGTAATAGAGTTATTCTTGGATCCGAAAACGTATGTCTGTAAAATGTCAAGTAAAATGACAAGTCGAAAGTTAAATTGGCATAATCAAAAAAGGTGATGATTATAATAACTAAATTTATAATTTACCTTCAAAAAAGAACGGTCCAACTCATATTATTATACTGCGACTAATTCCTAATTGCCGTTTTACCCTACGACTTGTCATCTTATTTGACGTTTCCCGTGAAGTTAGACATACGTTTTCGGACGCAAAGATGACTCAATTACAAATTATCTTAATCGCTCGATAATAAACCTTTAAGTAAAAAAAACAATAGTAGCCTCAAGGTAGCATCGTGATAGCGACTTAATTTTTGTCAATTGTTCCTCTCTCTGTACGACAGTATTTTCAGTATTATCATTTCCCTCACCTTCTGAGCAATCCTAAGTCGCGCGAGGCGTGACAATAGATATAATTTAAGACAGGAAAAGAAAAAGTTAAAATACAGAAATTATTTAAATTATAAAGTTGTTATCAACAAAAAAAAAATATCTATATAATTTTTGTGGCTGACCCAAAAATAAAATTGTGCTTTTTTAGATCGTCCTGTTTTGACCTTCAACTAATTATGCTATCAAACACCTCGTCATTCCACTTATTCTTTTTAGTTGTGTCTTTGAAAAGAATATTCTCTTGTTTCTTTCTTCTATGACATTTTTATCTTATTAGACGTGTCAGAAACGACATAACTTCTAACATTACGGATCAATTTACCGTTCTTTCTCAATATTTTATTAACTCTAACAAGTAAGACTTTCCTCCTGACAAAAACGCCATCAATTATTGACATAGAAAAAATGATTATAATTATACAAAACGATCCAATTTAGATAAAAAAAATATCAAACACTCAGCACGTGTTTTCGCACTAGAATTAGAATTAGGTAAAGGGATTGTATGTGGTTACAATATCAATCAATAGAAGACCCTCCTCAATTGCATTCAAAGAGCCCTTACGTCGCGGTTAACCGATGTAACAAGTCCGATTACGCAAATTAAAAGTAACCCTTGTTCTAGTGATGAATGTTACCCATTTAATATTCATCTTGCACGCATTGGCGACAAAATTGCTCGTTTAATTAATAATTAATGGTAGAGCTTTACTTTCTGACAGTGTGATTGAAATAGGAAGAGTTACCGACTAGGTATTCCAATTAGTTGCAAAAATTTACACAAAACAAAATATAATTGTATTTATTTATATGAATTACGTGATACAAAGCGTAAAATAATTGCTAAAATTAAAATTAAATCGACATTAATGAATTAGTCCATCATATTTAATTGCGCTATCACATTATACAAAATTTAATTTAATTTCCTTATTAATACACCAATAATGTCACCAACGCACAATAATTCAAAAACAGATTTGTTCACCGCAGTGAACAATGAAATGTAACCCGAGTGCGGTTTTTAATTTTAAGGTGTATTGTCAACAACACTCATACCCGTTTACAATAATTCCGGTCAGCAGCTTTTATTTTTCAGAATTCGCGACATCATTCCAAGAGCCCCTCGGGACATAATTAAAACTTACGCTCGCCGTAATTGGAAAATTTCGCAACGGTTAAATACCTTTGAATATCTTGTCGGCTTTATAACACATAAACATATTTGAAAAATAAGCCAAGTAGCTTGTTAGTCCATAATATAAACCGAAGTAATAGATAATAATTTTGTAATAAAACGTCGGCACGCGATAAAAGATGAATACAAATTCAAAAGTTCGTAAAACATAAAATTCATAATAAACGAGCTTCGTTTAGACAAAAAGCGGCAAAAATAATGTCGTCTGTCATTGCGAATAAATGTGTCGCTATAGATCACGCGATTTTTTTTTCCAAATAGTAAAAATAAGATAAAATCCCGTCGCAATTAATTGTACGTGATTATGCGTACAAAATAGACATAAATTCGGCCATTATACTTGAAATCGGCGCCTGAAAACAAAGCACATTAAATCTGCACAACGATAAATTAGTCCCGTAATGCTGCAGTAATTCAGTTAGCTGATCGCACGTCCATCGTTTCGCTGGCATCAATCTGGATTAACTTTACACCTATACTTAATTTTGCTTCCTCTGAATAACAGTTTCCGGCCTTATACCAGGCAGAATGTAGTTTTGCCTCTAATTTCAAACCAGACGTAATACAAACTGCTGACTATAAATTCTTAGCAAACGCTCGAATTAGTTATTTACTCGCAGATCTCCTCATATTAATAATTTTCAAGTATTTACCTAAATCATACAAACTGGCAATTTATCTCATATGAAATACCTAATGCCTATTTATTGTCACTGAAAAACAATTGCATTGTTGAAATAATAACTCATAATTAATGTTTATTTATACATTTAAACAATTTAAAAAAATATTTCCCTACAAAAATTTATGTTTTTAAGAAATAGACATTTTGTGTATTTAACTCTCGTATTTTTTCGGTTATATCCTTTCCAAATCGACGTTTGGTCGAGATAAAAATACCGTAATGAATTAAATAAAAGAGTCCCCGAGTGGGGAAACCAAGTTTTATCATTTGTAGTGTATTTCTGTCGAACTAAGTCCCTTCTTGTGTTCGTTGGAGCAGAAAATGGCCATCACTGCCTCCGGTCATTCAAGACACCCTTCGTTTAAGTTCGGATAAGGTCACCGGATATCATTTTGTTCTTTTTGTGCAATTTTTACGACTAAAATCATTATCTTAAACTCTAAAAAAATTATTAGTAAAATCTTACATTTTTTCTAATAACTATAGTTTCACTGTTTTGTCACATTTCATCAGTGCGTGAATTATGTCGACTTAATGTTTAAAATACTCCTGTGGGCTTTTGTAAGACACTGCAAGGGTTGCTTTTAATAAGATCAACACAAAACTTTTCAGCAATTAAGTTTTCAGGCAGCGTGTCGGCCGAGAAACTTTAAGTTTGGCATTAGGTGTGCTCAAGTTAACGAATTGTATTGACGACCTTTCTATTAGAGACGCTCGCCAGATAGAAACACAAACTCTAGGTACTCACGCTGCAAAAGGTGAAGAAAATCTCACAATTTTTACGAGAACACTTGCTACTTTTAAAAAAAACGAGCTACTCTTTCGTCTGTTCAACATTCTTTTTATTCTCTGCGTCTCTTTGGGGAAAACGCGGAATATTTTTCGGTACAGTTTGTGTATTGATTGCCCAATACCTACAAGCACACAAAAAAAGCTTTAAAAAAGATCAAGATGCTGATGTTAGCTCATGGCGTTACAGGGATTAAACAAAGAGTAATGTGTAAATAAATTATACAAAGAATGTTTTTCAAATTTTTTAATACACTATACATTGCCGTCGGTTTTTGTTATATCGAGCGATTAAGATAATTTGTAATCGAGTCATCTTCGGATTCGAAAACGTATGTCTGTAAAATGTTAAGTAAAATGACAAGTCGAAAGGTAAAATGGCATGATCAAAAAGGTGATGATTATAATAACTAAATTTATAATTTACCTTTAAAAAAGAGCGATCCTACTCGTACTATTATACGTCCGCGACTAATTCCAGCCCATTTTGCCGTTTTACCTTTCGACTTGTCGTTTTATTTGACGTTTCACGTGCAATTAGATATAAAGTTTGTTTTTTTTTTAATGGAAATGCCAAACAGTCTTAACGTTGGCACCACTAGTAAATTCATTCATGGTAATTTTAATAAAGGAAGTTGGCAGTTCCGGTTTTTTGAATTAATTTGAAAACAATGTCATTAAACGTCAACACAAAAAATCGTCTAAGAAAATTTAGAGACGAAACACCAAAAAAGGAACAAATTCAGTAGCGCTAACAGTTTTTCGAAATTTGGAAAAGAATAATTCGCAAGCAGGAAGTTAGAAAAAGGGTCCGTTAAAATGTAGACGCAATTTGTAATGCAGCTTTGCTAAACATTCTCAATTTTTAGCAAGAAATTGACAAGAACACAAAATAAACATGAATGGGAAAGAAGCTCGGAAAGAATGCAATTAAATTAGTGTCTTGTGCATCGTTTTTGAGGAACGAATTGTAAAAGTAACAATTTTGAACCTAAAGCTGAAGAAGAAAGTGCATCAACTTTGAGCTCTTTTCAATATTACACAAAAATTATTGCCAATCATCATAATACCTACTTTATCTTTTGCTAAATAACTTTTTTCCGTATATACATCCTTTTTCTTCAATGTTTTTGTAGCGAAAACCTCATTTTTGTCCACAACATTGTACTTACGTGCGGTGTGTTTCTATCAAAATTATTAGGACTGAATTCTGTCTTTAGACCTTAGGTAATGATGTTTGTCATCAGGTATTCAATTATAGCGCTTTCAAAGAGCAAACAGGCACACAAGATTCATAAAAGTCAAAATTTTGACAACATCTGAATTTGAAAACATAACCATATTTTTTTAACAAAATTTCTAAGGACAAAAACAAAGAGCAAACAAAATTTGTGGCTATGGAAACAAGCTGCTACCAATTTTTTCACCAAAATTTTGACTTGGTAATTTCAATTTAAATAAAAAACAGACTCTACGTTCTCGGATGCAAATATGACTCGATTACAAATTATCTTGATCGCTCGATATTATAGAGGATTATTATGTACAGTTGCAATTATAATTTTAGTCATAGTAATAATGCATATGTTTGTTTGTTAATGCCACAATGAATATAATGGAAATTAGTTTTATTTGCATAGAGAACCTCTTGACAAATTATTGTCATCTATAAACTGATGCAATAATTGTGTGCAACCGACCATTTGTGTTTAGATTATTGTCAACCGATAGATCACATTTGGGGCGCTTATCAAGTTATGGAATATCTAGAAAATTGTTTGATGAATCGATTTTTGAAATTTTAAATCGCAAGCAATAGTAGTTGTAGAGGCGTTTCTAATTGTTTGTTGTTTGTATCTTTATAATTCGTAGTATTGACAATTTGAAAAACCTCAAAAAAACAAAAAAAGAAATTTATTAATCCACACAATTTTTAAAAACAGGTTCATTGAACATCAAGTCGCAAGAAGCTGTCACATCTAAAAAACAGATTGATACTTAAGAAAATAGCAATTTTTAGGTGTAAATTTTAGCTATGAGCAATCTCGACAAACACAACCACTCGGAATCGTCTATAATTAGGCACTTTAAGTAAAATCTTCAGATAAATCCACCTTTTTTTATAGCGAATTTGTTTAGTTTACAGTTTTTTACAGAAATAGGATAAATAAAGGCTGTCTAGAACTAAAATTAAAAAAATTTTTAGTTATAGAAAAAACAGCAAAACAATCTACAGTTTCAGATTTTTTTATCAGTTGAAAAAACCTACTTTAACGGCTCTTATCCTTCATTAAAGTTCATTCTGTTTGAAAAATACAAAAACGAAGTTTAACAAACTGCAAAACTGCAAAATCCAATTTCCTACGTAAGTTACACAAAGGGCAACTTTTAGGTACGTGACAGCCCATTCCATTTAAAAATATCTCAATCGGTCGAAGCTTCGTCGTCGTCTTCCTAAGACCTGCATGGGCGATAAGACGACCCACCAGTTTGTCGCTTTGTCCAACTTCGTATCGATTTTGATTTCTCGACTCTATTCGAGTTCGAATTGAATTCGAATTGTTTATAAAACACTTACATTAAAAACAGAGCAACCAAGAGCAAAGCGACATTATTACAAAAAAATGAGTTTAATTGATTCGAAATGGAAGACTCAGGTGCGTTTTCTCGAGAGTGTATTGCCATCGTTTGGACCTTAAATCAAGACGCTGTCGAATGACACCATTATCAAACTCTTGAAAACTCACCCTAGCACCGTTTGATGTTATCAAGTCCGAAGTTTGTACACACCCTCTTCTCTTTGTTCTCTTCTTATTTATCTGGCCTTTTACAAGATGATCTCATCATTGCCTGTACGATGACGCCGAATTACATTACGAATAATTTATAAGCTATAAAATGTTTTCAGGTTTTCGGAAAATGCCTGCAAAAGAGTTTACGAGGTCGTATTTCTTTGCCATCATAGCCTACGCATTATTCGATCAACTATCAATCAGCGCCAGTATAAATCCCCACAATAAATCAAACATTATGATGTTTTATTAGCTTTGGAAGAACTCACAAAAAAAAGGATTATTTCCCGCCATTACTAAAACATTTCACCAGTACGCAAATATACTAGACCAAATACAAAAAAAAAACTGTTTGCTACAATTTTGTGGCAAAAAAGATATAAAAGCGTTATTAAAAGTTGATTTTCAATTCGCATATCTTTATGGAACGTAAAACATTTTAACAAACGTTAAAGTTGTAAAAGTTATCATTAGATATACAGTCTATAAAAAAAGTTTCTTTAATGCTCGAATAAAATTTAAAATGATACCTATCAAAATGAAAAAGTGAATAAAGTAGTAGGCAAATAGATATACGAATGATAAGAAGAGATTAAGAATGACAGTAGTGGTAATATGGCGAATTGACTTGAATGTGTAAAATTTTTCGCTTCTTAACTTGTCGTTAATAAAATTTCTATCGAGTAAAATTTGCTCATTTGGCGATTATCAGACAAATGACTAAGAGTCTTTGCCATCCGTTTGAATCAAATCTAATACGTTCTATTTCATTAAACGTAAATGTCGCTTTTAACACGAATTGAGATATTGGACCGGTTAACGATAAGAGTGAACTGAAACCGAAAAAGTTTAGAAGGGTGACCCACAAAAGATAGAAAAGTTTGTTTTCTCTCAGACAACAGTTGTAAATCTTCGAATGACACCTCTGGGCTTCGCCCTTTGCGAACTTTATACTCACTTTGCCAAAACACGTGTAAATAAAAACTCGCTCGTTTCTCCTCATACCAAATTGTTGTAATAAAATTTAATTGATTGGCTAGGATTCCGGTCACATGTTTGTCTATCCGAGGACGAATCAAATAGATAAAATTTAAAGGCGAAAGGAGGAACCCTTGTAATTAACTCTGGCTCTAAACCAAAGCTTAACAATCAGACATTAAAGTCAACTGAATTCTTACTTCTACAGGTTTTATAGAGTCGTTTTGTGCGCTCAATTGGATGCGGTCTTGATCTCCAAGAAAATCGAACGATAGCCACAAATTCAAATTATAAAAATAAAAAAAAAATTCTTGACTTTAATTTTACTTAATTCTTCAAATTAAAAAAAACGACGAGTGTCTTTAACTACAACAATTATGCTTAGACTAGTTTCCTGTCAAATTCGTCAAATGAAAAGAGCCTATTACAGCGATGTATGTACAAATTAAAAACATATTTATTATTTATTTAAATACATGATCTAGGAATTTTTGTGTTTTTTTAATATTTGAAAAAATATGACGGTAAACTGACCTCAAAGCTTAGATTATTAATGTATTTTGCCTATCAGACCCGAAATCCGCTTATTATTCGAACATATTTTTATAATCGTGACGCATATAAAGCTCCGCAAATCCAGATTGTAATAACCCTTCTGATGTTTTAAGCAGATTTGAGAAAACTGCGTTTGAGAAATAAACAGATACCCGAGGGTATGTTCTGCATGCATGATCAAGTACAGGGACACTTCCAGCAACCGTGGTTGTAAAACACACCGCGGGGTTTTGTAAATAACGACTTTTATTTCAGAGAAACGAGTACGTTTTAAACAATTCCATTATATTGAGGCGGAATGCGGGCCGAATGGCAACCTTTCGACCTCGATGAGGGATTAGGGCTTGAGAAAATTCATCTCTTTGCAGCCGAGGAGGCGAATAAGAAAAGGACACAACGTGACAGTGGGGCTTAGCTCGTGCGAGAATGACTTAACCCAGCTTTAAGACTACGGTCGTGTTGGATTTACAGCGATTTGACTGTGCAAATGTTTGAGGTCGGAATGACCCGCTTGAAAATTACTAAATTGGGTTTTAATAATGAACGACGTGCAGGAAGTTGCAAGTGCTTGGAACAACGTCTCAACGACGTCATTCGATTTCGAACGAAAATATAAGATAGTTTAGTTTTGCCTTGAAGAACTTTTAGCTTGTGACTGGAAAAATTCAATCAGCGGCTAAATACTGCAAAAAGAAATCTACTGACAAAAACAAAATTGAGTTGAAGAGTTTCTTTGTTTATACACAAATGTAATTTATCACAATCATGCTTTTGAGTATTCACACACGAAACAAATGAAAACAATTTCTACACCGAAAGATTCAAACGCAATGTATTGAAAATAAAATTATCTCTTATTTGTTTTTCGCTGGAAGGAAACTACTTGACTGAATTTTGCACGAGATTAAAAACCTTTTCGTTTTGTTTCACATTTGCTTCATAACTTTAAATTTTATTTATATTTACGGTAAATTGTGGCGGTTAGCTAAGTAATAGTATGGATTAAGCGAACGCTTGCGAAAGCTATTTCATCCGTAGATTCGGATAAATTACTTTAGTTAAAGAAGGGCACACCCAGCGGTTTAAATCGTAAATGTATCGAAGATAGATGTGGTATCGGTGCTACGAGACTAATCCCTCTACAAATAGACGTATAAGTTGCAGATCTTGTCTTGCTAATAGCAGATTGACGTATTAATGAAGGCATCAGGCAAGTTGCAATGCTAACATTTTATACCACTGATTTTAACTCTAAGCTAGTTGAATAAATAACAAAGCTTCAAATTAATAATACAATTTAAATGAAATGGACAGCTCGAAAATCTTGACAGCGCATGTCTTCCTGTGGTTTTTCTTTTAAACTATTAACTGATTATAATTGTTATTTATTCAACGATTTAAACACTAAGATAATTGTGTTTTGTAAAAAGGTTCAAATGTTCTTACCTCACTAAATTCAAGAAAAAAATTCTAACAAAACTAAAACTATTTTTTTTATTATACCTGCATCATAATCCTAAATTAAAACACGCTGCAGCGTGTGTAATTTGGCCTTTATAGCACGCTGAATTTTAAAGTTGTCTAGGTAACAAGAAATAGTGGAATGTCTGGACTAGAGTTCCTATATTAGAAGAGTTGGGACACTGAATGTCAGTTTTCATATTTTTCTTTTATATACGTCGGCTGACGTATAATAACAATAAAATTGGATACAAATCA